CCCTGGACAATCTCACTCCAGAGCAGATGGTTGAACTGATGGTTGTGGATCTCCCTGGGCTTCCACCAAAGATTGTCGTCATCAATCGAGTGTTTGATCATCTGCTCGTGTCTCCTGTGAAACAGAGATTTCCTGATGCTCTCTTAACCCTGCTCTTAATCTCACGGACGGTAAAGCTTACTCGGATGTTTTCAATGGCTCTGCTCCCAACTCTAATGAGATGTTTGCAACACAACACTTTTAGGCTTCATGCCGGATAAGAAATATGTTTTAAACAGCAAGCTGCAAAATTAGGATGTACTGTGCAATATAATACCAAAATGTTGTGCCGCGTTAAACAATCCCAGAATGTCTTTTTGCAAATTTACAGAACATTTTAGCTGAATGGACCTTAGGCAGACTAGATGCCATATTTAATTTTTCACAGATAAATATGAGGCTGTGAGAGCGATATTCCACAGAACATTTAGACAGAGGTCTTCAGCGCTGATCCTGGGGACCCACTGTCCTGCAGAGTTCAGCTCCAACCCTGATCAAACCCCCTGAACCGGCTAATCAAGGCCTTCAGGACTGCTTGAAATCACAGGCCGGTGTGCTGAAGCAGAGTGGAAATAAACTTTGTAGGACAGCGGGTCTCTGAGAGCAGGGCTAAAGACAATAACAACTGATAGAATGGACTGAACGTCTGTCTCTGACAACCTCATTGAAGTCGTCAAAAATTCAAGATGGCATCTCAGTCTTTTCTCCCACTCTTTGTGTGTGCTGTACATGTGTTTTTTAATTTTTTTATTGTTAGCTTAGCAACATGCTAACGTCAAACGCTGTTGGAACTGCAGGTGTTTGTTAAATCTCTCATGAGCTTTAAATGAAGTGCACTATGTGTGCGGTGCTAGCGTTAACGAAGTAGCTGCCTGTGTTTATCAGAATCAGACACTCATTTCAGTTAGGATATTTCATCAAAAGGCTGCTGCCTGTCAAGACTGCTCACTAGGGTTTGAAGTCAGCATGTTTTGCTTTTACATGTGGTTTGCCTGGAAAGAGATTGTGGGGTAATTTTGCAGTGGTCAAACGAGTTTGATGAATCAGTTATATGACGTCGGCACTGATGCCTGTTTGTGTTTCCACAGAACTTTATCCCGTGCAGCTCCTACATACTGATGTAAGTGTACTTGGGCCTCTGTTGACACGTTTGTGAGTCTCTTGTTCCAAAATTGACTCTAACTCTGTGATTCTCTCTCAGATTTCAGAGGCTGATTCAGGCTCTTCCTTCCCTGTCGTCAGAGATGGAGACTCTGGTCTTCCGTGTAACTGGAGAACTCAAGCAGAACGGAGCAAGAGGTAAATCCCAGTCTTAGCTTCTTCATTATCACTCATTGTCGACTCCACTAGAAGATCAACATGTTTCTCTTTACTTCTTCTTTAATGAATGACTTGAATGTGTGTGTCTTATTTCCAGGCTGCTCACTTCCGGAACCTTCAACAGTAAGAGTTTGTTTGTAACACAGTTTTCCTTCTCAGTCGCTTTCAGATTCCTCACTGTCATTCATTCTTTGAACCTTTTTCATTCATTGCTTTAAACCATTTGCTTTGTTCTCACTTTTTCATCTGTTTCAGTGTCTGATCACACCTGTGAATGGTAAGTGCATTTGTTCACTTCACTTGTTTGTTGTATGTTGAACTACTCGATATCTAATGGAATCTGAATGAATGTTGTGATAAACTGACCCTGCATCTTTCCTCTAGCCAACATCCATAAGCACTGAGGCCAGAGTTTCTCAGATTTCCTCTCTATTGAGTATACTGTAGTGACAGCTGCTGTTCCTACAGATCTACAGGCAGTCCTACAGCCCATCTAGACCACTAACAATAACCACACTAACCAATACAATAGGTGCCGTCACACCTCCAGTTCTTCAGTCCAAACGATGCTAATCACAAGTAACCTGTTGGACAAGCAAACTGAAACCCATAAATAGCTTGATCATGTTTTCAAATACATTTATTATCCTTTCTATCCTCCTAAAAGGTAAATCCCAGTAGTTTAAAAGTCTAGTAGATTTTGGGAAAGGAATTCGGAAAGAATTAAACAAGATTTGCTTAGCATTGGATGTTATTTAGAGGGACTTTTTGCTGGAAGCGACTCATGTCTCAACGAGATTCACTGGTCGCTGCCAACTGCTGTAACCAGGAGCCTGTCTATGTTCCCAGGGTTCAGTGTTCCCATGATTAACCCAATGTTCCTTTGTTAGCCGAACGCCAACCCTGGGAACACAGGATCTTTGCTATGAGTTGATTATTTGTTATATAAATCTGGCCATCATATGACCTGGTAATATGGTAATGACGTCCTGTTACCATGTAGCTAACAAGAATCTGAATGAGTTTGTCAACAAACCGAAGCAAGTATTGTTTGTCAAGTTTCTACTTCTATTATTTTCTCTTAACATTTTTGATTGTTCCATTTTTATTTACTGGTGTTGTATTGTTATAAATAGGATCCAGTGGCACTAATCAGTGTTTTCTGATTGATTTAACAGCTAGCGGAGTTTGTTCAGGAGTCAACAGGTACAAGCAAACACTCTTTCTTCCACTTTGACACTGTGACATTATCTATCAGACAGGAAGTGCTCATGAAATTCTGATGTCTTCCACAGTAACGAGACTCTCCTGTCCGCGGGACTCGTGAGCGCCCCCTGTAGTGTGGACCTGCAGCAGTACGCTTGCTCTTCGGTAAGAAAACCACGAGCAGAAAACTCAGTTAAAATGAGCTGATGTTGATGATCGTCTGGGAATCTACATCCCTCCAAATGTGCAGCAGTTTCTGGAATCACCATGATATTTCCTGAACGTTGATGTCCACTGAAGAAATCTTCTGTGTTTGTAGCTCACAGGCTTCACTGCTGCAAACCTGGCTGAACTCCTGAAGTGTCAACTATCCAGCAGCAGCAGTTACTCCAAGGAGATCTGGAAACTGCTTCTCAATAAAGCAAATGATGTTCTGGATCAAGCCCTCATCATCTTTTCCAGCGAAGCAGCAAATATGGTAAAAAGCCTTGTACAACTCTCCTCTAGTGTTTACTGGAAGATTGACTGGGAATCTGACAGTAATTCCTCTCATTACATCATCAGTCTCAGCCAATCAGAGGTGATGTTGTGTCCCAAGTGCTGGATGTGATTGGAGAGCTGAGACTGGAGACCATCAGTTCTGACCAATGGAGTGACATCGATTTCATCAGCATGTTGTTTGATCAAAATCTGAAGCCGTTTTTACCGTTTGCGTCATCATCCCTACTGCGGTGCACCAGCAGCAAAAACCTCAGCTGCCAAACCTACCAGCACATGTAAGAAAAGCATTTCCTCAACAATAGCCCAGGACTATCATGAGCTGATAAGATGCTTGTTCAACATTATTTTCAACCATTTCTCAGTCTGTCGAAGGTCAAACTTGTCAATGAGACTCAAGGAAGAAACATGGTGAACTTCTTCATCCTGCCCTTCCTCAGAAGAAACACAACAGGTGAGCTGGAGGTTCACAGATGTTTCATATGAAGGTTCTGGAGTTCATGAAGGTGATTTCACTGTGTGTGTTGTGTGTCAGATGCGGGCTGTGTGTCGAATGCTAACAACAGCGCTGAGTGGCTACAGAAGAACTTTGGCCCGTTCTCTCGGTTTGTGTCTCTCACAGATCTGCTCTCCATCAACAGACTCTTTGATCCCGTATGTCTTCACATCTTCACATGTGATTTCATCAAACAAGATTGACAAACATAACACCAACATCTTTACCCTTCATTGTTATTCTCTTGTTCTTCTGTGCGTGTTTAGTTGGAGACCCTGGACAATCTCACTCCAGAGCAGATGGTTGAACTGATGGTTGAGGATCTCCCTGGTCTTCCACCCAAGGATGTCATCTTCAATCGAGTGTTTGATCATCTGCTCGTGCCTCCTGTGAAACAAAGATTTCCTGATGTTCTTGAGCTCCTGTATATCTTCTCCACAACGGTGAGACGTTTTTCAGAGATAAGGCTGGAGGTCTTCAGCAGTTTTTAGAACCGTGTATATATTAAGAAGTTGAAATTTGGCACGCTCATTTGAGAGAGTCTTAACATCTATTATGCCAAATGTGGGGTCTGTATCTCCAATTGTGTAGTGGAAACAACAGTTTAGAGTCACTCATTTTATCTTTTTATCCAATGATGTAGAAACACAATGCTCTATTGAATTACACCAGTACCAGTATAAATTTCTCTATTTAGATTTTTTTTTTTGGATGTTTTTGATATTGCAAACAAACCATCTGTAATCGATCCCACTGCAGTATCATAGTGTCCTATTCAGGTTTTGATCACGCTTGTGTTATAATGTTTGTTCTGCTGTGCTCATCCCTATTGCTGCTGCTTACAGTGATATTCCTCTGAATGGAAATAAATGAGTTCTATTGGTTTTCTTTTCTAGAGTCCACTCAGCTGTCAAACCAACCAGATAATGTAAGTGTTTGTTTATTAATAACCATCTGACACAGTTGCATTAATGACCACATCGTTTTGACTACTTCTGTTGTGTTGTGAATCAGCTTCACGAGGCTGGAGCAAATCTTGAGCTCAGGAGCGGGTGATCTGGAGCCCATCATCTGGGCGAGTGTTTATAAGTTCAGCCGCACGGCTCCTACAGGTCAGCAGCGTATCATCTGTGTTCTGTCAGCCGTTATGTTCTTTTCCCACGTTCCTTATTAACGCTGTTTTTGACTGTCCTCACAGATTGCGCTCTTCTCCCAGTTGTGAATGAGGTGTGTTTGTTATTTAAAATCACTTTTATTTTTATTTTTACAGAATTAAACACCACTTTAAGTCTGTTGTGTGCATTTAACGCTGCATTTGTCTTTTCCTCTGCAGTGTCCCATGACTCCATTCAACGGTATTGAGTGATTCACCTTCATCACTAGGAACAAAGCATCACTATCATTTCCTGATCATGTGTGAGTGTGCAGTTGTGTGTCTGTGTTGATGTTTTCCTCTGTTTGTGTGTGTTTCAGAGACTCAGGTGTGCAGTGAGGTGGACAGGTAGCGTAAAGTTTTAATCACTGCTTAATTTTCCTGTTTAGTTTTTCCCAGCTCTGACTAACTGTGTCCTCTCTGTCCAGTTCTGCATTACAGCAGTGCCCAACCGATGGACTGTTGTGTGGCTTTAGTATCACAGAGCATGCATGTGCCCCGGTAATCACATATGAGTCTTTATACTGGAATGCGGCTTTATAATCAGTGGTGTAAACAGGTGTGTTCACGTGTGTGTTCAGGTGCTGAATGTGAGTCTGGAGTATCTGGTCTCACTGCTGGACATGCATCTGTCTGTGGATGACATGAGCTCAGCTGAGAGCTGGAAACTCTTCCTGACCAGAGTCTCACACCTGCTGGACGTCGCCCTCGAGCAGCTCTCCAACCAGGTACAAGACAGATTCTCTTCTATCTGATTCACAGCACACTGCAGCTAAAACCAAAACCATACACATGGTAACATTTTACATTAAGGTCCCATTAGTTAACTGTAGTTAATGTATTACCTAATAGTAACTAACAATGAGCAATACTTTTGTCACAGTATTGATTGATCTTTGCAGCTGGTCATTTTGTCAATTCAGGTAATAATATTAAAAGATAAAACATTTGATTTAAAAAATGTATTAGTAAATGTTGAGATCAGCATTAAGATTAATAAATGACCCTTTTCATTTATTGTTCTTGTTAACAAATATTAACAAATGGAACCTTGAAAAAGTGTTGCCAAAAACATGTGTGTTACTTGAAATAAAATAAATGTTAACTGAAATAAAATATTTAAAAATATATATTTCACCTAGATGCCAAATCAACATTATTGTTTAGTTTAACTTGAGGTAGTACAATAACTAAAAATATCTGAAATAAACTTATATAATTAAATAAAATATAAAAATGTAAAATAAAAAACGAGTATATCAATGACACTAAAATCTCACAGAATCAGAACCACTCGGTCTGTAAAAGACGATTGCTGTGAATGCTTCATGAACACAGGAACTGAGCGGCTCTGACTGACTGTAAACAGCACAGAAATTCCTACATGAATACATTCTGAGTTCTCAATGTTAGTTTACAAAGATTGCAGCTGCGCTGTTTGGAGTCGTTTGCTGTGCTGACGATCTTCTCTGTGTGTAGTCGGTGTGGGGGAGCAGCAGCTCTGCTTCAGTGGTGCTGGACGTCCTGCGGGAGCTGCGGCTGGACAGACTGATGGACGAGAGCGCCGCTGCGCTGTGGCTTGATGAACACCTGCGAGCGTTCCTGCCGAGCGCCTCCGGGACCTTCCTGCAGTGCCTGCGCAGCCAGAACTTCAGCTGCCAGAGCTTCCAGACAGTGTAAACAGCCCAGATCTTCCTCTCTTTCTGTTTAAATATTTAAAACAAGTCAAAAATGCTGAGTATCAGTGTATGAATATCTCAGAGTGTTTTATGGATCTGAGTATCAGTGAATCAGAATAGTTTTGGAGTCTGAGTGATAAGATATTGACATGTTGTGTGTGTGTGTGTGTGTGTGATGAAGGGTTGGAGCGTTCGATGCAGGATTTCTCCGCATGAATGACGTTCAGCGCCGAATAACCGTGTCACACTTCATCATCCCGTTCCTCTCGAGAGCAGGTACTGGACAGATGCTCCTCTGTGTGTCGATCTTCTGTCTGGGTCAGATCAGCTCATTAATAACACTGTATTGCTGTGATATTAACAGTGTGTGTGTGTGTGTGTGTGTTCAGGTGCGGCGTGTGTGTCCAACGACAGCTCTCAGTGGCTCATCAGTAACTTCAGACAGTTCTCTGCTCTCGTTCCTCTGAATCAGCTGATCTCGCTCAACCCACAGTTCAACCCGGTACAGTCAACACTACATATTTACACTGCATTCCTCAGTATTTGTGTTTTCCCGTCAGATGTCTAAACACCTCTAAAATGCTACAGTTACCTGAGAAGCAACTGAGTAAGATACTAAGCATAAACTGATATATTGATGTGGGCGTGGCTCTCAAACTGGTATGCAGATGAGCATGAGCTTGCAGGGGCGGAGTTTAAGGCGGTGCTTGATTCTGTGTGTCAGTTGCTGATTGCATGCAGATGTGGGCGTGGCTCTCTAAAATGGAGGCGGATCTGAATGCAAGCTTGCAGTAGATTAAAAGAAAGGGGCCGGGTTTGAGTGGATTCAACAATTGGAAAAATCTGATGTTTCACTGGAAGATCCAGTTATGACATTCTGATTAAACAATACTGTTTTTTTAATAAATGAAACATATGTACAGATGAAATGTTCTCAAAAGGATCTATAGATCATTTAGAAAATGAGGTGAATTTTCCTTGAATGCTGATTTTAAAGCAAGAACTAAGAAATTTAATTCAAGGTTCTCTCAGAATGGGATGCAATATCTTCCACAGTGTTGCTTCTCAAGGTATTTTACTAGAAACCAAGACAAGTGTTTTTGAAGGGTTTTAACTTGGTATCTGCTTGCGTTCTTCTCTGTTTCCAGATGAGCGGCCTGCTCTATCTCTCTCCAGAGCAGCTGGTCGGGCTGATGTTTGATGATGTTCCTGGGCTTCCAGAGAAAAGTGTGGTCATCAATGCCGTGTTCGATCACCTGACCGCGTCTCCACAGAAAGAGAGGATCCTCTCCACGCTTCCCATCATGGTGGAGTCATCAAAGACGGTAAAATAGTTTTTCAGTGCACTTTTGCATCTGTTTCTCATTGCTGTCCCACCATTGACACCCAGATGTGTTTCTTTCTGACAGAGGAACGTCTCCTGCGCGTCATATCAGATCATGTGAGTGTCGTCATGTGTTTGGTGTGCTGAATCTCACGGTCTCGTGCTCACACGTCTGTCTGTCCGTCTGTTTGCTAGCTTCCACCGTCTGGATCATCTGATGGTCAGCGTGCCGGTGGATCTGGAGTCAGTGATTCTGAGGAGTAAATCAGCTCTTCTTCAGAACGTGCCGCAGGGTGAGACCAGAGCACTTCGACTGTCATGAGACGTTTGTTTTAAGTCACATGTTCACCTGAATTAGGTTCCCTGCTGTGTGCGTATATATCAAACACTACACACACACTCATGAGTGTCTCTCTCTCTGTCTGTCTCAGGTTGTGTGAGCTCCAGCAGACAGGTGAGTGCTGAAGGTGCCCTGGGGAAAAAGACGGGTGCTTTATTGTATTGATTGTGCACGTATAGTGTACTTCAAATCTTAAAAGTCTATTTTTTTTTAAAAACTACTTAAAGACAGATACTTTCGTGACTATGTTTCTCGACACACTTAAGTACACTTTTAAACTTTTAATTTGTAAACAAACTTTCAGTCCATTTAAAAGTGCATTTTAAATCATTATGGTTTAATAATCTTTAGTCATGCTTTAAAGAAGTGCGCTATTTTGATGTGTTGACTAAAGCACATGTAAAGTACTTGAATATAATTTTGTTATATAATATAACTAGTTGCAACTTCATCATTACAAATGTATTTAAATGCATGATATACAAGTTTAAATAGAAATGACATTAAAGTGTATTTTAGTTTATCATAAATTCAGCAGTACTTTAACCATATTTCAAAGACAATGAAAGTAATAATGAAGCTACATATGAAGATGTACTTAAGTGGGTCAAAAAACACTCTTAAGGTCAACTAGTGCATTTAATAGAAGTTTAAACTGTAATGCATTTTCATTTATTTGGAAATATCCTGCAGGTAAGTATCTGAAAACATTATATTCACTTTGCACTTGAGTATATTATTTGAAGGATAGTAAGAAGGATTTTATTTGCATAGTAAGTGCACTTTTTAAAAGTATGCTGATGATTTAAGCTCATCTGATGCTCTTCTTCTGTCTCTTCCAGTGTGGCGTCACACCAGTGAACGGTTAGTGATCATCTGTGATTGGCTTGTTTGGTTATTTCTGTCTGTAGTCGTGAGCTGAAGACAGTCTCTCTCTCTTTCTCTCTCTTTCTCTCTCAGAAACGACAGTGTGCGGGAGCGTCAACAGGTGCGTCAAACAACTTCAATGAGCCTTCAGATGATTTTAGAACTCAAACAGACATACTTTCATATGATTATTCGATGAAACAGTCAGCCGATTAATCGATTATCAAAGTAATCGCTAGTTTCAGTCTGATTGGCCATCTGTGGAGTATCTGTGCTCTGATTGGTCGTTTAAAGTTTCTGTCATCCTCATAAGTGTGTGTGTGTTCCAGCTCTGTTCTGTCGGCGTATCTCGGCTCGTCTCATGATGGCGATCGGCTCTGTGAATTCAGCATCACACAGTACGCATGTGCAGAGGTACACGAAACACACCGTTCACAGACGTGTGAACACACACACTCTCTCTCTCTGAAAATATCTATCTTATGTATGTAATGTTTTGTGTGTGTGTGTTCAGTTGACAGATCTGAGCTCACAGGACCTGGCCACGGTGTTGTCATGCGGTCTCAATGGGAATGAGAGCGTGTCCGATGAGACGTGGAAACTCTTCACGCAGAAGGTCAACCCTGTGCTGGGTCCAGCGCTCGACCTGCTCGCCCACACGGTACACGACTACACTCGTCTCTGTCCACTTACTGTATGTGCAATCCAGGCTACGTCTACATCAGTCCACATGCACTGGAAAACTCATCTTTTTCTGTGTTTTGGCCTTCAGTCAACACTAAGACAGCATTTTTGTAAATACAAAGGTTTTTGAAAATGCTCTCCTAAGCAGATACATTTGAAAATGGCCAAAAACTCTGATTTCATATAATAAAGATGTTTAAGATGTTCGGAGCTCACCTGTGGAGAGTGACAACGGTGCAAAAGTTCTTATAAGTAATATTAACAAATAAATAAACAACATAAAATTAAAAACAAAGTCAAACTAAATGATGAACTGTGTGTGTCTCTGTCAGAAGCTGAACAAGTCCCGCCCCTCAGAGTCATTCTTGAATGTGATTGGAGAAGTCACTCTGAGCTCCTTCAGCTCCACCAATCTGAGAGATGATTCATTCGTCCAGCGGTGGTTTGGCTCCAGGCTCCGACCATTTTTACCCTACGCCTCCGAGACATTCCTGTCCTGTCTGTCCACCAGAGACTTCAGCTGTGACACCTACAGGAGCGTGTGAGTTACACACACACACTCACACACAAACACACACACACACACACACACACACACACACACACACACACTCACACTCACACTCACACTCTCACACACACACACACACACACACACACACACTCACACTCACACTCACACTCTCATACACACACACACACACACACATGTTGTGTTTCCATTTTTTATGGGGACATTCCAAAGGCGTAATATTTTTTTATGCTGTACAAACTGTATATTCTATTGCCCTACACCAACCCTACCCCTAAACCTACCCCTCACAGGAAACTTTGTGCATTTTTACTTTCTCAAAAAAACTCATTCTGTATGATTTATAAGCTTGTTTCCTCATGGGGACCTCAAAAATGTCCCCACAAGGTCAAAATTTACTAGTATTACTATCCTTGTGGGGACATTTGGTCCCCATAACGTGATAAAAACCAGGTACACGTGCACACACGTGCACACACACACACTCTCTCACACTCTCTCTCTCTCACACACACACACACACACACACACACATCATGTTGATGAGATTTGGTCTCTTTCACAGTGTCGGGAGCTTCAGTCAGAGTTTTGATGTCATGTCCACCGATACACAAGCTAACGTCTATGTTGACTTCATCAAAGTCTTCCTCTCTCAGAACAGCACTGCAGGTTGGACACACACACACACACACACACACACACACACACACACACACACACACACACACACACACACACACATAGGGATCTGTAGCGAGTGCTCAGCTGGGACGTGTTGCTCTGTGTTTAGGGTGTGTGAACGTCTCTCAGAGCAGCTCTGATTGGCTGACCAGCAGGTTTGGACGTTTCTCTGTTTTCACCACAATCACCGACCTGCAGATGCTCAACCCCAGCTTCAATGTGGTACGGACACACACACACACACACACTTGGCGTGTACAGATGCGTATGTTGACGTGTTCCTCTGTGTGTGTGTGCAGTTGGACACTCTGAGTCTGTTGAGCCTGAGGCAATTAGTGGAGGTTTCCAGCACTCCTGGATTCCTGTCCAGCGCTGCTGCGGTTAACAATCTGCTGCTCTACGTGCCGGACGCTCAATTCACATCGTTCTTCACATTCCTCTCCGCTACGCTACAGGTGACACACACCTAACACATACTATTCATCAACATGGCTACTCTCAGCCAGTCACAGCTCAGATGCTCTGCTCTTCTCTCTGATTGGCTGCATGTGGTGTATCTGTGTTCTGGTTGGCCGATTAATCGATTATCAAAAATAAACCTTAGTTGCAGATCTACTTCTGAACAGCCACTTGTGCTGTATGAATCTGTAATTACATGTTGTTGTTGTTGTTTTTCAATAAAATAAAAACAATAAAATCTAGTATTTTATCCAATTAAGAGATTATTCACAGACACAACTGGTCGATTAATCAATTATCAAAATAATCATTAGTTTGTGGTGCATGAATGTGAAATAATATGTATTTTTTTCTCCAATAAATATAAGTAAAATTTGGCCTTTTACCCATTATTCACAGAAACAACTGTCCGATTAATCTTTTTAAAAAACAATCATTCATTTGAAGTCCTAATTCTGATGGAATAGCATGTTTTCCCCCAATAAAATAAACAAAAAATATATATTTTATCCACTTAATCGATTATCAAAATCTTTAGTTTCAGCCCTACTAGTTCTCAGTGGGCAATTGAGGTGTGTCTGTGTTCTGATTGGCTGTCCGAGGTGTATCTGTGTTCTGATTGGCCGTCCAAGGTGTATCTGTGTTCTGATTGCCCGTCCAAGGTGTATCTGTGTTTTGATTGGCCGTCTGAGGTGTCTCTGTGTTCTGATTGGCCGGCTGAGGTGTCTCTGTGTTCTGATTGGCCGTCTGAGGTGTCTCTGTGTTCTGATTGGCTGTGGTCTGTGTCTGTCAGACGCAGGGCATTGTTCTCCCTCCTCCTGTGCAGGAGGCGTTTCTGCAGCAGGTGTTTGACAGAGCCAATCTGACCACGATATCAGACACTAATCTGCAGATCTGGATTCTGAACATACTGCCTTCCTTCATATCCAACATTACAGTCCAACACGTGACATCCTACTTCAGTGTCGTCCTGAAGCGACCCTGTCCCATCAGCCAGCAAGCGTAAGACACACACACACACACACACAGACACACACACACAACCCGTCTGCGTGCTCACTGATGTTTGCTCTTCCAGGATGCAGCTGTTGAACTCGTCCAGCTCCACCTTCCAGCCGGCGACACAAGATCAGATCTACCAGCTAATCCTCGGCTCTCTCACAGGTGTCCATCCATCCATCCATTCATACATGTATTCATCCCTCCATCCACTCACCCAGCATAATTTTCTCTCCACAGGCCCCACCCCACTGCACTGCTTTGGTAACCAGAGCTACTACGCTTTCCTGACCTCCTCCTTCATGAGTTTCCAGTTTCCCAATCTGACCACCTTCCTGTTGCTGATGCCGCCGGCTCGTGTGCCAGAGGTCAGAGACGCTAGACGCTTAATAATTAATATAAGGGGAACCTCTGAATATTGTTGTGGACAATGGGAGTCAAAAAGGTTGAGAACCGTTGCTTTAGAGAAAAACATGTGCACCAAATCACTAAGCACACCTTTAACTCTTCATATTGTCCGCTCTGCTGTTATTTAACATGTGTGTCTCCTCACAGCTGATGGAGTCGGTGTCTCCAGCGGAGGTCAGCAGTCTCCTGAATCGGCCCAATGCTGTGGACGATGTTGCCCAAATCTGCCGGCTTTTCAGAATTTACCCAAAGACGCCCCAGTACTTACAGACGGTATGGACATCTGTCACCATATACTAATGTAATGACTCTCTAGATTAAATCTGATAATATCTGGTTCTGAAAGCCTTATTAACCACTAAATTAACCGCTCGGGTTGTTAAGCAGCTCCTGAATTACTCTCATTTACTGTGAAATGGCCAAAGCAGCACAGATTCATCGTCCTATGATAAAGCATCTCTCTCTGTGTCCCACAGGAGCCACTGTTGCCCATGGGTTTGGCCCGGCAGGTGTTGTCCTGCGTCTGGCCTCAGGTTCTGAAGGTGGACGTCCAGTCTGAAGTGAATCAGTGGTTTGATCATCGTCTGGTTCAGTACCTGCCTCTCCTCACCTCACAGTTCATCGCTCCAGACGTCATGCTAAATGCCTCCTGTCTCTCCTTCAAGAAGTTGTGAGTAGCACTTTTCACACATTACGTTGTGTTGGGGAGAATCTAACAAATAGGTCTAAAGTGCGGTGACATCAGATCAATTCTGGAGAGATTTTGCAGTCAAAAAAGGTCAATTTAGTAGGGTAGCGATGTACTGTATGAAGCACAGCTCACACAGAAGTCCTTTTCACAGAGCTCTGGTTAATGTGACCGTACCTTAACTATGTGTTCCAGTAGCGTAAACGACTTTGTTCGTCACTTAGGGGTAAAATGTTTCAGAAACAAACTCCAAATAAACTTAATTTTGGCCTGATTTTGTTCAAAATGACATCACATCAGGTTGTTCTTTAATTTCGCTAGAATCTCGTGGAGGCTCAACACTAGCTGCTCAGTTCAACTAGTTTTCTTCTAAAGACATCTAACGATGGCAGATTCGGTGCGTTTCTCTGTGTAGTGTTTCAGTGATGGCTAAATACAACTACAGTGCAGCTGAGTTTTCTCCGAGCAACATCTACGGTTCCATCCTGGTCTACCTCAACACCTGTGAGTCACTTTGATCAACTGCATGACTGATTCTGATGTCTAATAACAATGAGGATTTGTCTGATGGTGAGCCGTGTTTGTCTTTGTGTTCTCAGCTTCAGGTTCAACTCCTAAATGCTATAACACCTCCAACCCAGATCTCAACTCCACCGCCTGGTTCGCAGACTACATCTCTGTCTTCTTGAGCTTCATCACACTGGACAACCTCCTCCAGTTTGGCTCCATTCAGGTGTGTCAACCTACATCTTGAAGAGCTCAGATCTTTTTTCTGTCGTCTGTATCCGTTCGCTCTTAACGGAATAGTTCGTCTTCACCCTCATGTCATTCCAAACTCAAAAATGTCTATGTTTTTCAGCCGTTCCTCGTGAACCTGGAGAACCTGCAGCTCTTCGGTCAGACCAGCGTTCCTGATGACGTGATGGAGCACTATGTGACTCTGCTGTTCGAGACGAATCCGTCCTTCAGCGCCTACTAGTGAGAGACACCAGCAACACTCTCAACAACCAATCTTAATCACATCTTACTGAACTACACTACCGAAAATAAAGCTTCCAAAAGCAGGTTTTCACAGTGATGCCACATAGAACCTTTCAGTGAACAGTTCTTGAAAGAACCATCGTTTCTTAGTATGAATATTTTAAGAACTTTTTTTCCGTTTTAAAGAATCTTTTGTGCGATGGAAAGATTCCATGGATGGTAAAGGTTATTCATGGAACAGACAATGCCAATAAAGAAGCTTCATTTTTAATAGTGTACATGAAAAGTCATTTAAATCCAGCATGAGCCACTCTCATCAAATGAAGGCTAGTTCACACTAATTTACAATGCTATGATTTGAAAAATCCCCCCTGAGAAGGTTGGTCTGTGGCCACTTGTTTGTTGGACCATCTAAACCAGGGGTGTCAAGCTCAATTCCTGGAGGGCCGGAGCCCTGCAGAGTTTAGATTCAACACACCTAATCCAACTAATCAAGTCCTTCAGGCTTATTTTAACATGCATGGTATGGGTGTTGAAACAGGGTTGGAACAAAACTCTGCAGGGCTCCGGCCCTCCAGGAATTGAGTTTGACACCCCTGATCTGATTTAGACCAACAAACCAACCAAGGCTGCTTAATGTTTGCTTGTGTTCATAGTCTTCCTCTGAAGTTCCGCTGCTTGGCTCCAGCGAGCTCCTTCCTTCAGCTGAGTCCGGAGCAGCTGAAGATCATCTCATCCAGCATCCATCAGAACTGCACAGATGTTCTCCCCGATGTACGTACAGGAGTGTTTGTGTGTGTTCACGTCAGCAGAAGTAAGCTCTGTATAAGCTAGACGTGTGTGTGTGTGTGTGTGTGTGTGCGCGCAGGTGTCGGCGGCTCTGGCGAGTAACGTGGAGGTTCTGACGGTGGACACCATCGAGGCTCTGGGTCAGTCGTCCACGGGTTTGAGCACGGCTCAGATCAGCGGCGCCGGAGGGAATGTGCTGCTCAACGTGCTCTCCGTGCTCAGACTCGTTCAGGGCTGGAACCTCGATCAGGCCATGATGATCATCCAAACCCTGCTGTCGTCTGGAGTTTACCAGGTACACACCACCAATACCGATTCAAAGCCAAACAAATCAACACCTTACGTGTCTCTGAGTGGTGTTTCATTCCTGAATGAATCAGTGTTGTTGAACGAATGGGTTGAATCAAAGATTCATTGAGTCATAAAGACTTTTTTATGTTCCTGAAATGAATCAGTGTTGTTGAAGTTATTTTTGTATCAACGATTCATTCATAAAGACAATCGCTTGTTTTGTTCCTGAATGAATCAGTGTTGTTAAATGAATTGTTGAATCGATGATTCGTTCATAAAGACAATCGCTTGTTTTGTTCCTGAATGAATCAGTGTTGTTAAATGAATTGTTGAATCAATAATTCATTCATAAAGACAATCGCTTGTTTTGTTCCAGAATGAATCAGTGTTGTTGAATGAATTGTTGAATCGATGATTTGTTCATAAAGACAATCACTCTTTTCCTTCCTAAATTGGTTGAATCAATGATTTATTGACTCACATATAAAAACTGTCACTTGTTTAATTCCTGAATAAATCAATGTTGTTGAATAAACCCGTGATTCAATTACTAACTCACAGTAATCTCAGCAAGTTAAATTCCAGTATGGAAACTGTTAGGGATGCATAATATTTTTGGAACGTCGGCCGATGAAGGCTTAAAATGTAAACATTGGGTTTGAAAATAAAATGATGCCGATAACACGAGTAGCTCACATGTGCTCAGGGTGTGATAGCGATAAGATCAGGTCAGCAGTGCGGTCATTCATGAAGGAACTTTTGCCTGAATGGTGATTAGATTCACTGTTTTGGATCGCAGCATTTAATCTGAGAATGTGAGTACAGAACGACAAGTCCGGTGTGCGATAGTCAACGCCCCTCCGGTGAGGCCTTTTATTTATGTAGGGGGCGCTGTAGGCCTACTTGTAATGAAATGAAAAGTAAAATACAAACAAAGCAGTAATTGATGTCATAAAATCATGAGTCTGTTTTGATTTAAAGGTCAGAAGCTATAGCTTACACCAATAAAAATCACAAACATGACATTTGTAAATGAAATAATTTATATACATATATATACAGATTTATTCATTAATATGTAATATATTTACTATGGATTATAAAATCTTAAATACAAGGAGCTCTAAAAGATTTTTAATATTTTTGCAGCTCTTTTGCTTTTGTAATTTCTGCAGAGGTGTCGTTTCAAAACAAAAGGAAATATATATTGGTTAGGGTTAGGGTTAGGCATTGGTTATCGGCCAAAATGATTTGAAAAATATTGGCATATCGGATATCAGCAAGAATCTAATGTCGTGCATCCCTGGAAACTATCTGTCTTATAATTTTCGATGTATTAACACACATCTGTGTCTGTGGCAGATTAATCATGCAGTCAGTCTGCAGAACTTGGGTTCACTGATTATCGGTGTTCAATCATCAATCTTCAGAGTAATCTCAGGAGAAATCTTCCTTGAGGCAATGAAATCTGAATTGTTCGTGACCAACGTCATCGGCGCCCCTGTGATCGTCCAGCAGACCATCGTCAGCCAGGTAACTCTCGCTCACATTCACACAGCTCCGGCTCAGCTCAGCTTTGTCTCGTGACGTCTCTCTCTGTCTCTCTTTAGATCATCGCTGTCAACAGCTCATTTGACGCCATCATCACAAACGTTCCTGACCTCATGGCGACGGAAATCCCGCGCATCTTCCTGCTGGATGTGCCGCAGTCATCCGCGGCTGCACAGGCGGTCAACCGGAAGAAATGGAAACACGAGCAGGTGTGTCAG